AGGAGTTTGCAGAACCTGATCGCTGAGGTGTTTGAGACTCTGCTGGTCGGTGCGAATCACAAAGCGGTGACCAAACAAGTAGTGCCGAAATTTAGCGACAGCCTGGGTAATAGCATGTAATTCACGGACGTATGCAGACTGAGTCTGAAGCCGGTGAGACAATTGCTTGGAAAAGAAAGCAATAGGGTGATTGTTTTGACTCAGGACAGCCCCAATTCCTTTACCAGATGCATCAGTCTCCAAAACAAATGGTTGGGAAAAATCGGGTAGGACGAGCGTTGGGGCGGTAGTCAGAGCAGACTTTAAATTGTCAAAAGCCAGCTGGGTCTCATCTGTCCATACAAAGGAATCCTTCTGTAACAATTTAGTCAGTGGGCTAGCCAAGTCAGCGTAATGGCGAATAAAACGCCGATAGTACCCTGAAAGGCCCAAAAACCCCTTCAACTGAGTCACTGTGCGAGGTGTGGGCCAGTGTTGAATCGCAGCCACCTTTGTGTCATCCATATCAACTCCCTTGTTCGAAATGACATGCCCCAAATAATCCACAGAAGTACGGCCAAAAGAGCATTTAGAGAGTTTTGCAAAAAAACAATGAGTAGTCATCAGTTTCAGTACCTCTTCCACATGATCGAGGTGTTGTTGCCAGTTGTTACTATAAATAAGAATATCATCAAAGAAAATTAACACAAACTTACGTAGAAAGGGCCGGAAAACAGAGTTCATAAGGGCCTGAAACGTAGCTGGTGCATTAGTTAGACCGAACGGCATGACAAGCCACTCATAGAGCCCATGATGTGTTCGGAACGCTGTTTTCTCGCGATCAGCCGCATGCATCAAAACTTGGTGGTAACCGGAACGCAAGTCCAGCTTAGAATAATAAGAGGAACCCCCTAATTCATCCAATAATTCGTCAACCGTAGGCATAGGAAAGGAGTCCTTCACAGTGACAGCATTAAGAGCTCTGTAATCGACACAAAACCTCCATGTCCCATCCTTCTTCTTTACCAATATAACCGGGGCAGAGAACGGGCTGTTACTAGGTTGAATGAGACCCTCATGCAACAATTCCTCAACCATCTTTTCAATTTCAGTTTTCTGACTGAAAGGGTAACGATAGGGACGTACCTTGACAGGGCTAACCCCGTCTTGTAATGGAATACGATGCTCATGGTCACGTGGTGGTGGCAAGCCAGTCGGCTTCACAAAGACGCTTTTATAAGCACGCAACAGAGTCTGCATATCCGCAGGAATATCATCCGGTAAGTCTAAAGCTGTATCATCCTGAATGGTTAAATGCATCATGAACAACTCGGAAACGGCATCCATATGGACCAATCGTTGGAGCTGATGAAACTCGGCGCGAGCAACAGTGGTGGGTGGTGTCCCTTGTAATGTAACAAACGCGCCATTGTTAAAGAACTTAATCTTCGAATTTCCGATGGTGTAGTCGGCGACATGTGGCCCCAAAGTCGCAAGCCAGGACGCCCCAATGACAACATCCGAGCCCGCTATCGGTAGGACGTAAGCAGGGAGTTCAATAATGTGACCCTGAATTTGGATGGGTAGCGCACGGATCATACCTTCACCCTTCATGGCATGACCATCGCCAATCATGACTCTGACGTTGCCGACAGCCTCAACAGGAAGCTTCAAATGTTTCACAATCCTTGGGTGCACAAAGCTATCGGAACTACCCCCATCCAGCAGAACCTGAACCGTGGAGCCGTGAATGGACCCCTGGAAACGAATGGTAGCCTTCCCTGCTGACCTTGAAATGCGTGGAGGGACAAATGATGCACGCTGGCGATATCTTCTGTCACGCTTTCGGAAGGCTGGGCAGATTGCTCAGAGGTCGGGTTGTTCTCCTCTTCACACTCCATGAGCATGTACTGCTTGTTAGGGCAACGATGGGTGGGGGAAAACTTCTCATCACACGTGTAACAGAGCCCTTTTTCTCGTCGAATGAGCATTTCTGCCGGGGACATTTTCTTAATTGTGGGCGACGGTTTCATCGCAGGTGTCGGTAGTAGAGGTGGGAGAGAGTTCTTTGCAAGCGGCGCTGTGGTTGGGGGATTGAGGGGTCTCGAATACCCCCCGGACCGAGATGAACCCGGAAGGGAAAACTTAGTTGGACCCACTGTGGGCCCAATTTGCACATCAAACAGTTTGGCTAATTCAACGGCTCGCATCAAGCTATATGGTTTCTGGCCCACCACATAACGACGGGCGTCCGGTTTCAACCCACCTGTGAAGCAGTCCAACAAGGCGTCTGCCGAGACTCCCTCTGTTCGATTAGCCAACACTAAGAATTCCCGACAGTAATCATCGGCGGCCCCGGTCTGCATTAATTTAAATAAGCGCACTCGAGGTTGATCATACGGCGAAGGACCATATTCGTCTTCTATCGCTCTGACCAGTGAAGCCCAGTTACTAATCATCCGTGTTTTTTGTTGCATCTGGAACCATGGAATGACCTCCCCTTCAAAATTCACCGAGGCGATAAGAATGCGTTGAATATCAGGAGTATGGTAATATGAAAAGTACTGTTCAGCTCGAAAAATCCAGGTAGTGGGATCGGTGCCACTGAATTTTGGAAAGTCCAGTTTGAGCGGTTTGGAAGTGCCGGAATACGAACTCCAATGGGAGCCACTCCCACCCTGGGGTCCCTCGTCACACCTCTCCGACCCCCTGTGTGGTGTCTGCAGCTGCCGGCCCAGGTTTGTAATGGCCGTCTCCAACTTATCGAAACGAGGAAGTGTAGTATTCGTTAGAATGTCGATCGTTGATTCCAGCCGATCAAAACGAGCATTAGAGGAATTCTCCATGTTATCTATGCGATCCTTGGAAGATTTTTCCATCAGGTTGATATACTCAGCTAAGGATTTCACCTCAGCTTGAACATCTTTGAATCTCGTCGCCTCTGCCATACTCAACGAAAGCACCAAATGGAATGTTCTTATGAACGGACAATCAAATGACGCGCTAGTATGTATAATCTGGATTTATTTATGCATATATCACTGTGTGTCCCGTATAATATCCAGATACAGCTCACAATATGTAATAACAGAAGCAGAGAATTAAGAGAAGAAGATGTCAGGGAGAAACAGAATTTCCAGAGGAGAGAAGAGGCTAGAAAGGAAATCAGAGATTAGTCACATATTCCACACCCTCCCCTCTCCCTCTAACGACTTATATTCCTCACTCCTGCCTAAGTTTCCACGTGAGCCTTTTCTCACGGTTACTGCGGCGTGGTCCCTCGTCCGCATGCATCTCGTCTGGCTCCTGGGTTGGGGCTGTTTCCTCTGTCATCTCTTGGCCCATAGTAACGGGTTGTCTTCCTTGGCCCATAACATTCTGACGGTGTCAGAGTAGTGAGACTGCGTTATATGGGTGTAAGAGGGGCATGTAGGGGGTGTGCTGTTATCTTTTGGTGAGAAGAGGACCTGCTCTCTTGAAAACCATGCTTGGTGTGAGGTTTATGTTTTCTGTTTGCTGTTTTTTTTTGCCTGAGTTTTCTCTTGTAAAGCTATTGGTGTGTGTAATCCTCAAGTTTTCCCTGTCCAATAGAGGATTTCACATTTCATTTTCCATTTTTTTCTTCTCTGAAGCCATTATGTATGACATGATGGAACAAAGAAGTGATGTTTGATTGATATACAGCTTCATTTTCTACTCTTTTTCTCTAATCACATTCTTGTTCAATCTATGTATGCCATATTTATCCTTGCAAGTTGCATCCTTTTACCTCTTGATAAATAAAATTGCCTTTGACAAATCTTCTGCAGGTTCTTTTTGTTTTGCCAGAAGCCGCTTCAGTACTACGTTGGTCTGCCAAGATTGGTGATCAAAGCAACAAAGCAGTAAAGAGATATTCTCCTTCATTTTTGTCCTTTTTGGAAACGATGCCCTTCGGTTTGCTGAGTGCTTTCATTGCAAAGGCCTGATCAAGTTGTTACAGCTGAATTAGAAGCAAAACTATGGAAAAAACGTCTGACTTCATTTCATCTGAGTCCTGCCGAGCTGCCTGTCCTTATTCTTTTTCTTCTTGATTTCCTTCTAACATAGAAGTGCGAATTTCTTAACAAGTCTAGCGATCTTCTGTACCTTTCAGTCCTCATTATATGGGATAATTAGCCTATTCCTGTACCTTTCTTACACACTCTGAAGCTCCCGTGCGACCATACCTTCCATCCTGGTCTTGCTATTCTTTAACGACTCTCAAGTTGTGGTTTCCTTCCATCTCCTTAAAAGCAAACCCATATTTTCTCCTCTTATCTGCGTGGTTGGACTGTTAATGTCAGTCATTTGATTTCTAACATTTTACCAGAGATGCAATCAATTTGATGTCTTCCAGAGTGTGGAACATGTAATTATCTAATGTGATCTCTAAGTGCTGTCCATCAGTTTGCGGAAGCTGCTGTGTCATTGTTGGAAGTGATTTGGGCAGATAGGGAGATGTGGCAGGCAACTTAGAGATAATTGTATTTTTAAAGAAAGAGGTTGCCCCTGTTGGATTTGAGAGTTATGATGCGGTGCTTGGAGGATGGTGAGTATGTTTTGGGTGGAAAGGTTGTGATGGGACGATACTGAGAGTTTAAACCATATACCCAAGTCAGGCAAAAGATAGGGTTTGGCCAGTCATTACTTGTAAACCATAGCTTGTGCCGTGTAACATTATTTGTAGACAGTCATTCCATGTCAACAATCATATCAATACCTTTTGGTGGCAAACAAATCAAATCAACGGTTGTATTTCAACCTTCTTATTTGGGTAACTGGAAAATCAAAAAAGTTTTTATGTATTGTGCAAGCACAACATCATGACTAGCTATCTCTGTAGAATGATTAGTGTTTGACTTCTACATGTTCAGCGAACTTTTTGGTTGATATGATTTCATTGCGTCCATCATAACTTCATAGTCTGCTTGATAAATTTAGCCTAATTATTTCAATAGAACGATTGCGTTATTTCACTTTGCCTTTCATCAGGCACCTTATTACTTGACAGGGTAGCTTGGTAACATGGCAATGCCACAAACACCCCTTTTATCCCTAGCATCTCGCTTCATCCTAACATAACCGGATTCGCCCCATTCTTCACCCCAAGAATTCTTCACAAGCCAGTACTTCTGACCATTATCTTCGCCATACCCAACTATTGTTACTCCATGATTGAGGTCATTTCCGCAGATGCCAGTGAAAATGCCTTCAGAATAAAGTTGGAAGTAATAGCCAGCTGCATCAATTGCTACAGAGACAGGCTGATTAGCAGCTGCAGCTTTCAGTTTCTCCTCGTTGTTGGCAGGAACATTTTCATGGCCGCTTAAATTCGCAGTATGATATGCAGCTTTGGCTTTATCACAGTTGCCATCTGTCCCTTTATAAGGATAGTCTTTCTCAGTGGCGAGACCACCATTCTTCTCAATGAAAGTAAATGCTCTGTCCATGTAGCCACCTTGGCAGCCTCGGTTCCCATCATTAACATCACAGTCTACAAGTTCTTGCTCAGACAGAGACACCAACTTCCCTGTCTTTATCTCATTGATGCCTTCTACAGCCGCCACTGCAGAGAATGCCCAGCAACTTCCTGCATTAAAAGGTTCATGCCATGATTTACTTCTCAGATTGCTCTGAAATTCTAAACATACTTCAAAATAAATGAGCGAAATCTTAGCAATCGAAATCAGCATCTGATATATATCAGCAGACTGCAGGTATAGAAGGATCTATCTTTGCTTCTTTTTCCTAGGATCTCAGTTACTTAGGTCATGCTTCTCCGCCGGTTTCTTATACTAATATTTGGGGATGCATGGGAATAGTTTGCTTGTTATTGGGTGCTTCTAAACCATGAACTTGTTTTTGCGAGAAACATTACCACACTGGCCTTGATCTTTGATGGGAGTGACTGCACCTTCCTTCCTCCAATCTATGCTTCCTGGCAAAGCTCCATGTTCATCATACCGGAATCGGGTCTGTAAATGCCGTGCTGGTTGGAAACCAAGATATTTACTTCTAAACTCGTCATTTGTCATGTCAGCAAATTTGTTGTCTGTGAGCTTGTAGGAGTAATTTTGGGCGTTGACACACTCTATAAACTCAAGATTGGCTTGGTAAATGCGAAAACGGACTTCAAATTCTTCCTTATCCTCGTATTGCCGGCCATGCTGCTTCAGCCAACCTTCATACCTCTTCCTGATCGCTTCTGTCCCAGTCGAGTTACTCTTGGAAATGTCAGGACATACCCCTCTTGCTGTTGTTGTCCATAGGTTGCAGCACAATGTAAGAAGACTGAAGATAAAAATGAAGGATATTATGGTTGTCTTCATGGCTGGCTAATAATGCAGATACAGAATGAGAGTTAACTTACATGCATGAATATTTAATATATGCAGTAGCAGTATGCTGCAAGGTTTGCATTCTTTACACGTGTGGAATAAAAGTCGCCAAGTTTGCGGCATAACATCGTGATGTCCTCATTTCTTTCGCACTGGAGAATTTTAACAATTCAAGACTACTACGTTTCATCATCTTCTCTGCGTGGCCAGAACCAGAAAGACGATTTGGTTGTCAACTTGCTTATGGCTTTCTAACCCAAAGATAAAGACAAGCAGCAAATGGGGCACGTTCGAATGTTTGCTAGGTATCTCCTTCTACTATTTTTTTAATGTCGGGCAATTACACCAACTGCAGCTCACATCTGATTGAAGCCAAAATTAAGACATATAATGTGGACAACATAAGGGCGTTAGACTTCGTTAGTTAAATACAAATATCAGAATGAATCAGTGTTATTTCTCCCCAAAACGAAACTGATTACCAGAAACGTGACATGTAAGCACGACCAACTCATCCGAACAATGTGGTTGAGTGATTATCAAAAACTCATGAACAGCACAGATATATACAGTATTGTATTATCAATTATCCCAGAAGTCCAACTCTAAAAGTTGCCTCTGAGGTTGTCAACTTTCATGCAAAAGTCGTGGTAATGGTGGTGACAAAATCAAATTTTCAATTTGGCATTTGATAGCAGAAGGGAACGATGAAGATTACGTGGGCGTGTGAATCTGGTTTAATTCCTATTGACATGGAAAATGTCGAAGGCATATGCATAATATAACTACCAACTGCCAAGTGCCTTGGTTTTCAAGCAAGATCTCTAATACTAGCATGCGTTTCTTCGCTCGAGAACTGGCTTGTTCATTGCGACCAGTCACAGGACCATGGCCCTCTAACCTCGCAATTTTTTCTTAGAATTATATAAATATTTCACGTTTCTAGTCCTCTTAAAATCTATGCAAATTTTGCACTATATATACTTTTCAATCTCAAATCTCTCATAATTAAAGCTTAGCTCTGCCTCTGAGGCCACTGCCTCATATGACTATCATCAAACTTCTATACTACGTAAGTTAAATACGTAATCCTCTCTTACCAAAACAGATTAATACATTTATGGCTGTAGAAATGACTTCGCGTGCATATGCCGTTGCTAATGCTGGTTATTGACTATGAGTCAATTTTAACAAAATTTAAAAGGGTTCAAATTTAAAATTTAGCAGTTTTTTATTATATCAGAAAGTGGGTCTCTAGTCTCAGATCTGGCAAAAAGTAACCAAACCCCTCCCCCCCCGGGAAAAAAAATACGCCTAGATACTTGGAAAAAATTTGTGAAGGAGTATCTAATACTTGAAATTTTTTTGTTCTTATGTGTTTTAAAAGTTTATTTTCATAGTAAAAATACCTTGACCATTATTCGTTGTTAAGTTTGATCATCAAATTATATAGTTTGACTAGTGTTTTTAATAATTAAGATAATGGTTCACGACAGATATGTTATGAAATAAAACTTTCAGAAGATATAAGAACTAAAAAAACTTTCAAGTACATGATGCTTTTTCATGTATACTTTTAGAGTATTTAAGTACCTTATCTTAGGAAAACAAAATAACTATAATTTTTGGTTTCTAAAAACTAGAATTATGAACGAAAACCCACGTCCATTCTCCATATTCTATTTAAGCAATCATGAATGCAACAGGTGATGCGTTAGATAGTTGGCCAACCGGAAGGCTTTAAAATATTTAATGAACCGGAAGGCATATGTTACTTTCGGTTCTTAATATAAGATCTTGTTTGATTTTTATTTTGGTTTTAAATATAAGACTCCAATCTATTTTTCTCTCATATTTATGTATTTTTTTCAAGATAGTCCTCCTAACAATAGTAGTTATAACCAACATACTTAATTAGCAAGGATATTTTAGGAAAAACAACACACATTTATTATAAAAACTAACTAACGTATTTTTTTAATCTCCTCAAATTAGTATGATTTTGTGGGGAAGGCCAGCTAACAGAATTTACAAATTACAATAGTATGATCACTAATTGTGATATTGATTAATTTACTAGTTAATGAGTGTTAATTTTTGTCATATTTTTATTTTTAAAAAAATAGAGATCTGAATGTGTTGTCATGTGTTTACTTAAAAGCCTTCCATTTGAAATTTTAGCTTAATTACAGGTGAAAATGATCGTACGCGTAATTAACTTCACCAATTTCACTCACTATTACATAACTGGAGATTCCGAAGAATCAAAAGTGGTTTAGACATAAATCTCTGACAAAAATCAACCTGCATGTGTATTAGTAGGAGAGAAGAGAAAGTGGGGCCCGGAGGAGAAGACGAAGGGGCCCACAAACAGAGATGCCAAAAAGTAATTAATTAACTAATGACAGAGATAGTCCGTTGTACGTGGCAGGCAACTACTCCTTGATGCAGATCAAGAAGAATAGCTATGTACAAATATGAACATGCATATATCTATATATAGTATATGTAATAAATTAAATTAGAGGCTTTTTTTTTTTCCCTGATCTGTAATCACGATTAGGGCTTTAATTTGCCAAACTCTTTCTCGCATTAATTAATTAAGAAGGTGCCTAGAAGCACACAGAGAGATAGAGGCATGCATGGAGAGATAAGCACGCCCACAGAGAGAGAATAAGGGCATATACCCTACATGTGGGAATGGTTTGAGGACAAAGGAAAGAAAGCGTAGAGCTTGCAAACAAGTCACATGGGAGCATAACATGATCCTTCTTTACACTTGAGGTAGAGAGAGAGAGAGAGGGAGAAGGGGCCTTCTCTTTCACAGCTCATATCTATTATGATATTCTAATTATCTTATTACTCTACCTACACTCTTTACGTTTTTTTAACTGCGTTTATTAATTGTTAATTACTGATTTATTAATGACTCTCCCCTCCATGCCTAACTACTCCCAAGTAATAATAAAATCTTCAACCACATGCATGCCCCTCTTTTACTACTCTCTCATATGAACGCCACTAATTACTGGCCCCCTCACTTCATTGGACTTTATTGTCAAACCTTAATTCGGTTGCAAATATGTTAAGAGAAAATCAACTTTATTTTTCCTTATATATTGTACTACTCATCATAGTATATCATATTCACAAAGGACCGAACTCATAACCTCATATTTAAAATAGACTTAAGAGATATGCGCGATATCATTGGGCCACAATGCCCTAACCTCATCTGCAAACTACTACCTCCGGTCCTAATTATAAGAGTTAGTTGACTAATTTGAAAAGATTAAGTAAATAAGTTAAATTAGTTATTTGTCATAAATAGATATTGTCTTTCTTAAAATATTCTTGCTAATCAAGTGTATTGGCTAGGACTACTATTGTTAGAAGGACTATCTTGAAAAAAAAAGTATAAATATTAGAGATAAAGTGAATTGGAGTTTTATATTTAGAACCAAAATAAAAGTCAAACGAGGTCTTATATTAAGGATCAGAGCTAGTATTTAATTTGATTATTTCATATCATTTCTCTTAATTTGACATTCCAATTCTTAAATTGCTTGCCTTATGGTCATTCTACTGCATTGTGATCCAAAATTTAATTTTAATGGCGTTAGCTAGCCGAAAAGAATAAACCATTAGGGTCTCTATTACGCTTTCTCTATACCCCTTACTTTATTTCACAAAGAAAGTTTCATAAATAGTTAAGAAAAATATAAAGGTAGAACATATCTTGATCGTGACTCAAAACTATGGGGAGATATAGAGAAAATTCAGGAAAGTATAGGTGGGTTTAAAAGCAAATGACATCTGATTATTATGTGAATCCATTTATTTATTTATTTGAGACTAATTAAAATACCAGTCGTTTTCCATTATTTAAAACAAAAAATCAATATCTAATTTTTAGTAAATTAACGACTAATTTAGAAAATATCAGTATATTCATTTTTTGTTTATCCTTTATTGTCAAAGCCAACGTCATGTACTTATCCAGTACTTGAAATGGTTAGACAAGTGACTTATGCAACACAGGCAAGCAAATAATTAAGAATAGCAATCAAGGAATTTAATTTAATGAATAGAGAATATGTTAAAGTGTAACATACTCCTCCAGTCCTTAATATAAGACCCAATTATTGATTTAGTTTTGGTCCTAAATATAAGGCTCATTTCTCATATTTATCAATTTTCTCTAAATTACCCTATGGATACTCCCTCAACCATAATTAAGTAGAAGAGGAAGATGGGGTATATTAAGAAAGATGATTATAGTATTTTAGAAAAAACGTGTTACATTTCTTATAATTAACTAACTTACCTAACTTTTTTAATCTAATCAAATTAGTTAAACGGGTCTTATATTAAAGATCAGAAGAGTACGAAATATAAATTGAGCAAACTTTGTATACCACCTAAGAGGATATATAAGCCAAGATAACCTTGTAATATAAACAAAAAAGTATTTGTTAACATTCTGATCAAATATTTGTTAAATGTCTGTTTAAAAAAAAAAGTCTTTAATTGTCAATTTAAAAATTTAGGATCAAATGCCATATTATCCTTCTTGTTTAATCCCAAAGAGTCATTTCACCCAAAAAAATGTCAATCTTGCGAGATAGTTACCATAATAAAACTAGTTAATATGTAGCAAATGCATGGATCAGAGAGTGAAGAGAAAATGCAATATAATGCAGATAATACTCATAATAGAGTAAGTATAGGAATGCTGCAAGTGGGTTTGTGAGAGAGAAGAGAAAATGGAAGGAAGAAGATGATGATCTTAGAATAAAAAAGGAGAGAGAAAGAGAAGAGAGAGGAGAGAGAGAGATAATAAGGGCACGTGATGGGCTGATTGCAGAGTTATAAAAATAAAACTAGTGGCGACTTTGCAGTAACACCGTTGAGAGCCCCCCCTCTTCTCCCTCCTCCCAGCTGTTGTATAGCTGTCCATCCTCTTGTCTTCCCCTCCACCCCCCCATGTGACCCCACTCCCTTCCTCTCACCACACTTTCATTCGGATTGGGGTTTGATTCTCTCCTGTTTTTTTTATTCTTCTCTTTTTCTATATCCAATTTTTTCTTCTCAGAGATACATACAAACACTCTCATAGTCGCTTGTATTTTATATGTGTCACCTTTGTATTTATAACTCTGTCCTTCCTTCCTTCTCCTGTCATTTTTTTGTTATAATCTCGTTTCAGAGATAAATCCCTAAAGATTTATTGGGATTTTAAAGAATTCATTAATTAATGTGTGTGTGTCTCTCAATGCATATTTAAATAAATATGAGAAAGGTGCAAGCTTGAATGGTTGTGTTGCTGTTTCTTCTCCCTCTCTTGTTCGTGGCTTTCTTCCTCCTTTTATTCATTTCCTTTAAGTTCCTGCTACAGGCTGATCATTCGGTTGGTTTAGGATCATTTCTTTTTATCTCATTGGCTCGAGCTGTGTGTCCTTGCATGCAAATTGCAAATTTGAGAATTTGTTGAGCAGATTGTTTCTGGGTGTCTCTGCAAAAAATTTGGCACACGTTTTGTGTTTGGTTTCAGTTCTGTGTAATTATCATGGCGCAATTGCCTCCCAAGATCCCAAACATGGCGCCCAATTGGCCTGACTTTTCTTCTCATCAGAAGATGCCTTCCCTTGCAAGTTTGTCGCCAAATAATGTGGCTGCCGCCAACGCTGCTACCACCACCGCCCATCAGAATCCTTCTTGGGTGGATGAATTCCTCGACTTCTCGGCGGCCCGACGAGGGGCTCACCGGCGATCCGTGAGCGACTCCATTGCCTTCATTGAGGCGCCAATGCTGGACGATTCTCGTGGTAACTCCGGCGTGATTCCTCCGAGGCCTGGGGGTGACAATGAGTTCGATAGATTTGATGATGACCAATTCATGTCTATGTTCACCGACGATTTATCTGGAGCTCCCATGCCCCCCACCATGTCGTCCTCCAATCCTTCAAGCCCTTCTGATCATAACAGCATTAATGATGAGAAAGAAACCGGCCAAAACCAGAACCAACCGAAGGAGGAGAAGGAGAAGGAGCATGAGCAGCAGAAACAAGTGAAGAATGAATCAGATGAGGTTGAAAGCCAAAGCGAACAGGAAACTCAACCTCCAAATAACACCAATACAGCTTCTTCGACAGACAAAATTACTGACCCTAAGAGAGTGAAAAGGTAATATTCGTCTTCCATTGATCTTAGACTACTGCTTTTTCGAGCCCATCCCCCAATATATTAATGACTGTCAGATTTTTAAGAGCATCTGCGGGGGATAATGAGTTAGAGTCATGGCTACTATTTTTTATCGTCCTTTTTATTCTCTTTTGGCTTGATTTTGCTACTCGATTGATAACTTATCGTTTGGTGTCTTCTGAGAAAATATTGGACATAATATGACGTGCAAGAAATCTGTGATTTATTTCTTCTCCTGATGTTTTTAACTTTTGCCCATTGAATGACCCACGTTATGTTAAGGCAAGAACTTTTTCTTTAATCTGCCTCTGATCCTGGTTTGCATCAGAATCCTGGCAAACAGACAATCTGCACAAAGGTCACGAGTGAGGAAGCTGCAATACATATCGGAGCTTGAACGAAGTGTAACTTCATTACAGGTGCGTTAATTTCTGCAGTTCAACCTTTTGATTTTAATTTCTTCGTCGTAATTTTTACATGGCATGGGGTTGGATATGTTAAAGTAATGTTTTTTCCATTCTGTTGACCAATGAAGGCCGAAGTTTCAGTGCTATCTCCAAGAGTTGCGTTTTTAGATCATCAACGATTGCTTCTAAATGTTGACAACAGTGCGCTGAAGCAAAGAATCGCCGCCCTTGCCCAGGACAAGATCTTTAAGGATGGTAATATTCTTTTGACCTTAAACTATATTATCTACATTACTCGTGGCTAAGAAGCTAACAGAGTTCTAATCTTGTTTATATAGTAATTCACTAATCGAGCAGTTAAGAGTAAAAATATTCTGCTAATATAACTGATCGTACAGTTAAAACACGTTGTAGATATTTCAAGCCTCAAAATGCTATGAGATTTGAACCTTTCATCGAGATGTTCAAATTTCTTGGAATTATCATTAAGTTTAAAGTCGCAAAAGTTTCCATATATGACTAAATCCGCATATGCTTTTGTCCTTCTTAATCAGTTCCAAGGGTTTCAACTGATATTCTGCAATATATCATAATTAGGTTCAAACAGTTTTAGCACATTAAGCGCATGAGAAGAATCGAAAATAAAATAAGAACATATACGATTTCCAGTGCGCAAGAATTAAAGCTGAAGATTCTGTACTTTTCAGTTGACACAGTGCCGTTATCGTATTGAGATCATGACAAAGCAGCAATGACATAAAGAAAAGGAGAAATGCACCACTAAGCTATCAGTTCATTGGATCTAGTTGGTTCTGTAGTTTAGAGAACGATGAACAAAGACTAACAAACTACATTAAAAAAAATATTACTGTTATTGGGTTTGTTCTCGTGAGAGCTGTACATATATATAATTTCATTACTTTAGAAGGGAAACAGCCTAATTATGAAACCGGACAGCCTTGTATTGATTTTAGTAAAAGCATTGCATGCACGCGTATTTAAATCTGTGTCTGATCATGTGCCCCTGCTCCCATGTAGTTGAGTATGCTTTAACAAAGTCCGATATATTATCATTACTGATATTTATGCAGCTCATCAAGAGGCTCTAAAGAGGGAGATAGAGAGATTGAGGCAAGTATATCACCATCAGAATCTCAAGAAAATGGAAAATCCTGCAGGGCCACCATCACCATCCTCATCTCCAACACCGAACACAGAATGTGGTGGTGCTAAGACAGAAAAGGAACAATTTCTCAGTGTCTGAAACCTCTCCCTAGGAGACTCTCCTAAAGTATGGTCAAGTAGCTAGCTAGTTTTTATATTTCATGGAGTGATAATTCCTTTCATTATTGGATAAAAGAAGATTGCAGAGTTTAGGATGGGATGGGAGGAAGAAAAGAATCAGAGAAATAAGGGGAAAACACTACTTTCTTCTGAGCCTGTAAGGTATTGAATGGTTATGGTACCACTGATGGGTCAGTGATGGTGGGAAATTTTTACTAAGCCAACACGAAGAAAAATATATACACTGAGAGGGGCATCACATTGTAAGTGGGGAGGCCATTGGTACGCTCCTGCAATCAACTGTGCTGTCACGTGATGTGCTTCCTTTAAAGAAGGGGACCACCCAAAGTTTGCATGATTGGTGTGCAGGGAAACACATGTGCACCAGTGGCAATCTAAAGAGGGTGGATGAGACAGTTGTGTCTGCTTTAACTAAATAGTCTGAAGATATAATGAGATCATTCTTTCAGTTTTTTTATTACTGTCTTTGATTCTTTTCTTTCCTTTTTTCTCTTCAGTTTGGTGTTTTTTTTTGGGGGGGGGGGGGTGAACAATGTATTGTTGTTAAGTCAAGCTGGAAAGCAAACACTGGTGGGGCTGAGTTGGAATAGATGAAGGGAAGGAAGACATGTGAGTGGAGTGAAGGGTCCTCTGGGTTTTGTTGTATTTTTTGTTGTCTTTCTCTTATGGGGAGGTCTTCAAAACCTAGACACAAATGGGGGGAATGGGACAAGGTTGCTTTGTAAAGATTAAGCTCTAATTAATCTTAAAGATTGAAGTTATTATGTGAATTGGTAGCTCACGGGGAGCTTTGATATGTAATCTGTTACTGCTGTATTTTAATGTAATCATCCTTGTTTGAAAATTTTAATTGAAAAAAAATGTAAATAGTGCCATTTGTGGCGTATAATGGGCAAGTCATGAAGTGCTTTTAGTTGTACAAATATTTTGCTCACAGGTCTTACCATCTGTATTAGATAACACTTATATCCCGTTTCGTAGGGAAGAAGTGAGGAGAGAGAAAGTGAAAGAGAGAATGAAATTAATGTTTTTGTCTATGGTTCAATGAAAGCAAATTGTCCATGGAACTCAATTCCATCGAAATAGTACCGGAAATAGGTTTCATGTTTCACCTCTCTCAAGTAATATGATTATCACTAAATATATATGAAGCCAACACTTAGTTGGAGTTAATTAAATTACAATTTGTTCCTTGTTTAAGTTATCATCCGGCTTTAAGAGATTAGGGCTTAAATATTACAATTTTTCCCTGAAGATGAATCTACCAAAAAAAATCTGCAAACGTAAAATACTTCTTCTAATCAAATGAAAAACTAATGAAAAATTATCAAATTAAATATTAAATTTAAGTATAATTATACAAATATTTATCATCAAAGTATTTGATCGAAACATAGTATGTGGAATTTTAGTTATTAAAAGATTTAGTGATGTGAACATATATTAACACTACCCCTTAATCAAGTCTGTGTGGTGCAATGCTTAAACGTGGATTAAAGGAAAGAGCTAATTGCAAACAAAGGAATAGTGGGGTTGCGTCTAGGTTAGTTTGAAGTATGGAAAATAATTTCTTTTTCATAATCCACAGATTAAGGTGAGCTCATCTATTTTATAATTTAATATTATCTCTGTTATAAGAGTTAGTTAAAAATTTAGTTTACTTCTAAATGTAAGATCTCGATTTATTTTGTCTTGTATTTTTTTTAAATATCCCTATTAATTATAGGAAATTTTATCAAAGTGTAGTTTCAATATATGATTAAATATGATATCTAGGAAAATCAATATACATTTGTTACAAATAATCAACTTAACTAATTTTTTTTAATTTTTTTAAATTAGTTATCTACTTTTATATTAAAAACAAGAAATAGTACTATTTTTCTTGTTATATAATTATGTTTTAAATTTAAAGATATAAAATATATTTTATATTCACAAAATCACTACTTTGTTTGTTTTAATTTCGTTTTACATGCCAAACGAATTTTTCCGGTAAAGTTTGCTACGGGTGCTTCCTAGTTCCTCTCATTCATGGTCGACTCACGAAAGTACATCACGCAAGCAATCCATGGGTTACATCCTTCTCAACCATTTTTCTTCTAAAAGGAAAGAAGAATAATTCTAGTCAATCCTATACATACAGCCTGCATATATGGATATGGTTTGTGTATTGAATGCCAAGATCCGTTCCAATGTGTTTATTGTTGCTTGGCGTGGCGGTCAAATTATACATCTTCAGCACTAATTTTAGCCTATCCTGTTTCTTGTTAGATATTAACTGGTCAATGAAATGTAGGATTCTAACAAGAATGGGTCAACTTTTGCAAAGCGGAGAAAACAGTCAGAGACGATCGTAACTTGGGGGATTCGATCTAACAATGTTACAAGAAAAAATTTACCAAAGTCATTGATGGTCTCATAAACTAACTGCAAATTTACCTATGTCCTGCCCTTGCTATTGTACTTTACTGACCAACCACATGGTATTGTACTTTGAACTGCTTTGATAAGGCATGCAAACGAAAAAGATAAACCATGGTAAACAGTTCGTCCTTCACTGGTGCAAGTCCTGAAGAATGCAAAAGCCAGCCTTTAGCATTGACCTTTTTGAAGAGTTTTGCTTGATCCTCAACAACCATCAACCCTCCCTCTAGTGATGAATTCTATTCTGATGGTCTTCTAGCCTACCTATCCAGCCTTGTCAATCACCAAAGACTTCATTTGTTGTTCTTGTTCTTGCTTCAAACGTTCCTGTTCTAGTTCCATTATGCTCAGAACAAGGCCCTCAGAACCGGGAACGTCCTTGTAAAGAGGTTCACTGGCTTGTTGACAACGGATCCTGTATTCAGTAAATGCCTGCTGCGTTTCCTTTAAGGCTTTTCTGTAGCCCTCCAAGAGATTTTCCATCATATTCAGTTCCCTCTCAAGCATATATACCCCCAGTCTGCCCTTTTGACTCTCTTCCACATGTGCCTTACGCAAATCCTCGATCATCTTATCACGACTCTGCAGCTCATTAAGCAAGATTTGCTCATTCATGGAAGATTCTTCACAAGCCTGTGCTTTTGTTACGTACATCATTCTAGCTTCTCCCATCAAATGTTGCATGTGCTCCATACACATGTTAAAGTCCACTGGCTTAGCATCCCAGAGGCCATCACTTCTCAGTCTCTTGTTCCTAACAGTTGGAGATCGATATAAGTTATGGTCATCCTGGTCAACATATCTCTTGTGACCATTGCCAAATAGCGACGGTCCAGAAACCATTTGAGCATCTTCTCTGTAGGCAAAAAAATCTTCAGAATTGCCGTTCAGCCCATTCCCAGAACTAAAAGGCATTTGCCCTGCTTCCATTGCCTGAATGAAACCTCCAGAAGGCATTCCCGGCGAAGAAATTTCTGGAGAAGTCCCCTCTAAAAGAATGCACTCATCCTCATCCTCATCCTCACCCACAAATTGTTCTTCCTCTGAACCCTTCAAGTCGCCAACATTGCATTGCCGCAATAAAGGCCACTGTCCAGATTCTTCCTTAAAATCCTCAACAGCTCTTGAGTGTTCATTCCCAACCTGCTCAGTTTCCACTTCAAAAATTTCAACATCACCTTGCCCCTGATTCAATTCAATACTATGTTCCCTCAACAACTCCTCTTTGTTACTCACCCCATCGCCCACCTTACACTCTTCTCTGAGCAACTCTTTACGCTGTGTCTTAATCAAATGCTGCAAATGCGATGCATAGTAACAGTTCTCTAACTGTGAGGCATTCAACTCTCGATCCACCATGCTCCAGATCAATCCTGCCCAATCAATCATCTCCAAATGCCCTTCCTTGATCAACCTAATGCAAGTCAAAACCTCTGGAGGCATAATACACTCATTATCGTGTAAAAGCATCCACATTAACACCAATTTTTCAATGAAAGCAACTGATTCCCCTAATTCTGGCATATCCACCATATTTTCTGTTGAAGCCACAGTGGATTCCGCTGGTAACTTCAAAGCACGCCCCAAGTCAGCCTTGTTCACCATTATCTTAATGCCATTCACGTAACCACCGCGCAAGTTAGGTGTATAACTCGCTATCAATTGCGCTAGAAGATCGCTGCGAATGGTGGTATCAAACTCGATATTAACAAAATCCCAAAGCCCGAGTCGCCTCAGGAGTAATTCATGGCTCTTGAAGTCAAGGGCTTCAGAGGGCCTGAAGGGAATGGGTTTGAGGGTTTCGGCTATAACTTGAAGCTTCTCCCAAGTAGTTAACTCCGGATTAAATTTATTCCGCTTCAGTTCCTGGTGAAAGGCGGCGACGGCAGCGGCAGAATCAGCAGTCTGGGGAGAGGAAATCGAATATCCCTGTGGAATCTCATGGAGTTGAGCAAATAGATCACAGTTTTGATCATCGAGGATTAGGGTTGTGAAGATCCGGGAATTGGAATGTGTGATTTCCTGATGTCCATATGATTCATCTACGACGAGATTAGAGTTCTGAAAGGCCATTGTTTCAAACGGAACTTGAAGATTTTAGATGATCATGCTTGTGAAGGAAGTAACTAGCCAACTCCGTGGCCACGGAAAGAGGCTATTTATGGATTTGGAGGATGACGCCAAAGCTTAAAGGTCACTTTCGTCCTTTTGCTAGCTCACAATTTTATTATGACTCCCGAGTGGTAATCTCATATCATGTCTGAATTTATATTTGTTTAGAGAGGTCTCATAGTGACGTCAGCAAAAAAAACTTATTTTTCAGAAAAAAATTATTTGTATTCTTGTCTTAAATTAAAAATTAATTATTATTTTCAAAATTAATTGATAAAATGTTATTTATTTTATGGTTTATGATCTTTATAAAGTAAAAAATATAATAAAATTTAAATTATCCTGATTAGATTTAAAAAGCTTTGAAAGAAGAAGATAATAGCAAAAAATAAAGTTGAGGACAAATCATACGATGTCTTTATCATTCAAAATAGATTTATACTCCTCCGATTCTTATTATAAGACCCAATTTGACTTTTTATTTGGTCCTAATTATAAGACCCAATCCATTTTGTCTCTTATATTTATGCATTTTTTTCCAAGATAATCCTTCTAATAATGATAGTTTTAGCCAATATACTTAATTAGTAAGGATATTTTAGGAATGACAACACTTATTTATTATAAATAACCAACTTAATTTATTTCCTTAATCTCCTCAAAAAAGTTAATTGGGTCTTATAATTAGGACCGGAGGAGTATGAAATAGGAATCCAAAGCTTATTCCGTATAAAATAGGAAAATATAATCTAAAGTAAATGACAGTAATCGCAATCAGGATAATAAGTCAACATCTTTCAAATGAGAAACTATTCTCAATAGAAAATCATGATCAGCTTATATTTAATTATGTTAATAAAAATTTAACACATGCTAAAAGTTGTAAAAAAGCTAGATACTTCCTCCGATCCTAATTATAAAAGCTAATTGACTAATTTGAGAAGATTAAGAAAAGAAATTAAGTTAGTTATTTGTCATAAATAAGTGTTGTCTTTCCTAAAATATCCTTGCTAATCAAGTATATTGATTAGAACTACCATTGTTAGAAAGACTATTTTAAAAAAATACATAAATATTAGAGATAAAGTAGATTGGGGTTTTATATTTAAAACTAAAATAAAAATCAAACAAGATTTTATATTAAACACACGAGGTACTACTTCAGATTCGCTTATGAATGGTTGACATCGTAAGATAAATTCTAACATACGATAGATAAATTCTGTTTCAATTGCGAATTTTTGTTCCCCTGAAGAGGATGATTCAGGAAATGAATGATCATCAAAATCCCAAAATCTTGTATTCATTTCATTTCATCAGCATAAACTAAACGCCACTGTGAGCTCTGTTTCAGATGGAAACATCATCCTCTGTTCCCTGCGTTCTTCAATTCCTTGTGCTCTGTAGTTGTTCACGGTCATTTATTAATAGTCGGGCTAGCAAAAGTGTTCAGACCTAATTTGATAGCTACTACTATGATTTATGCTTTCATTTCTAGGGTACTTAACCAACCAATTGTTCATATAGTAATCGGATTGCTTAATTTTAAAATTACTGAGAGCTCATTATTTAGTCAATTCAATGGTGCATAAAGCAAGCTGAAGGGCGACAGCTCAAGCTTTCAAAGAGACTGGGTATTTCAGAAAAGGCCTTCAACTGGCTCTAATAATGAAAGGGGTCAGCTGCTAATTATATTTTGCTGTAACCCACTTTATTATTTGTAGTGATTAATTTAACACGGTAACGCCCACTTCCATTTCGAAATCAAACCCAAGTTGTCAGTTTGATACTATCCCTCTTACTGTACTGCCTCGGTGATTTCACTCCCCAGTCCTTAATTAACACAAACTGCCGCCCTTCTGCCATTTCCAGAAACCTCTGCTCTTTTCCTTGAGCATAAATTTCGTTCAGAACTGTCGCGTTTTCGGGTCTCAAACGCTTTCTTTTGACAATGACCACAGCTAAAATCTCGTCTTTCTCCTTATACTTTACTCTTTTCCTGTCTCTGTCGGCGGTGATTTTCCCGATTTCTGACGCCGAGCTTCGCCCGCTGTCTTTGAAGGCCGAAAACGGCGGCGTTCAGGCGCAGGAACTATGGTGCGTGGCGAAGAACAACGCCGAAGACGCTGCCTTGCAGTCGGCAATCAACTGGGCATGCAGTACGGGCGGAGCTGATTGCGCCCCGATTCAGCAAGGAGGACCCTGCTATGACCCTTCAAATCTCCAGAATACGGCATCGTATGCTTTCAACGACTATTTCCTCAAGCACGGCTTGTCCGATGATAGCTGTAACTTCGACAATACCGCCGCCATTACTTCCCTTAACCCTAGTCTGCCATCTCTCTCTCTCTCTCTCTCTCTCTCTACTTCCTCCATTGTCCTGTTCTTGTTGGTTTCAAACTTCCTTTTTTGGCGGGCTATTATTATCGTAGTTTTCAAAATTTCCTTGTTTCCAGAGATCTGAAAGCGAGGCTTGAATTTGAAGCCCTGAAGTTTCTTTTTTGAGCTGAAATTTGATCGAAGTACTTATTCATGTGGGTCTCATTCTTTTGAATTTCAGGTCATGATAACTGCAAATTCCCGTCCAGGTAACTGAGCTGTAATTTTACTGTAAATTCTGCATTTGATTGTTCAGCATTATATGAATTGACAAGCAACGGTCTTTTTGCAAGATATACTACGTTCATTCTGAATAATGCATTAGTGAATTCTACATTTTGAAAGCTTAACCCATTTTGTGCTTCAGTTTAAAAGCAGCAACACCAAGCAATGGAAGTTTTTCTGGTTCGACTTCTTCACCCCTTGGATTGGGATCCAGTGAAGATATGAGTGGCTGCAATGATGTTGCTGGGAATTGGCCTCGAGCTTTGATTATCAGTCATTTGGTGCTCATGTTTTCCTGGACTGTTTTAGGATAGTATTTTGTGTATGAATCATCATCCCCTTTGATTTGATGGAGGATTGGCAAAGGCTTTCCTTGTTTACATGGTACAGCAGGAGAGATACTTGAGGATCAACCTGCGTGTACCAATATAGTTTACAATGAGTGGAGATACTTCGGTTCCCCTCGTATGTTCTGAATTTGCAGTTTCACTAGGATGGTAGAGTATGATATATTTGAATCCAAGTGGTGCGTCAAGATTCCGTTGGCTTGTCATTGACATGAGAGAGAATCAAATTCTTAACAATTGGCCAAGAATTGCTTACATTAAAAAACGATGTTTGTTTGGCTTCACAGTAAAATTTATCAAAACTATGAATTTGGTGAAACCGACTAGTTAACTAGTTTTACCAAAACCGGGTTTTAATGATTTTTAACATGAACCGAGCACACTATAATCATGCACTTCATCAGTGATTTTCATTTGTTCTGCTTCTACAACTTACTGATGTAAAGAGTCCATTTACCGAGTTGTTTTCCCCTTAAAATAAAAGCTTGTAACGTCTGGTTGCTGCCGGGATTAGATCCAGTTGATTCTTACGGGAACAGTTGCGACACACTTTTGTTATCTCCGCTTTCCCTAGCTCTGTTGAGAATTGAAATTGTCTAAACTCGTAGAAGGAAATATTCTGAACTCTGATTACTGCGTTTGGTGATAATCTTGTGTGTGTTCGCTTTTATTTTATACATAGAATGCAGTAATCAGAGTAATCAGAGGAAATATTCGTAATAATGTCTTGTATATATAGAATGCAGTAATCAGAGTAATGTTATTATTCACAAGGTATATAGAATGCAGTTTAATTACTAGAGTAATGTTTAATTTGACAAAATTACTTAGTGGTTTGCAAAATGAATATTTAGAGCAATCCGGAATTCCAAACAAAGCACCCACGAGCTAACTTAAAAAATTTCCACTCAGCTCAAAAAGCAAATAATTACAATTTAGTTATATCTTATCATTAAACCATCATCTGTTGTTTCTGTTTGTTATTCAAGCACGGAAGGAACAGACTTCAACTTCCAAGACTCTGCGACTGTACCCTCGTTCATTGTTCTGTTCATGAAGGCCAGGATGATGCCAAATCCTGAGCTAACTCAGCTAAGCCATAAATGGGGACCAAGGATGAAGAAAAGCCTCATCTTGAACTTGAAATCAGAAATCTTTCTAATTTGTACTGCATCTTTTAAATAGATGCTGTTATGCCGCTTATTACCAAGCTCGAACTCGTGAATTGAGCCATAATTGCCGGTAAATTGTGTTCTAGTTCTTCAAAACTGTAAAAATCCGATTGTTTCCTTTGCAGCTTTAAATTTGAACTCAACGGATGATAAGGGGCAACTACTCTAATTGATCCCTGCTGCCTCAATCCAATGAAGGAGTGCATTGTTAGCCATATTAGAATTGAAGTAGTCCAAGGAAGTCAAATTTGCTTCGACAAGAAGTAGACTTGGAGACAAATAACCGATCGATTCAAGAAAGTGGTTGGCTTGCGAGGCCTTACTTTAAACGCTGTCCTTGGGAGACAAGGATATTGAAAACCGTAATCTCTCTACAATTGAAGTGTGGGTCAAAGCCAAATTTCCTCTGCTTTTCAAATGGATACTGGATGGATGGATGGATTGGATGAGCCATTGCTATTCTTGACTAATTGACGTTACAGAGACCGTTAACACAATAGCTCCGGAATCCAAAACAAGACATTTTAATTAAGCGAAGTGTCATACAACATGCGTCAAGCAGGGTTGATTCAAGGTAACCAACTCAATGGGACACTAAAACATCAATGTAAATGCACGTGATAAGGAGAAGCTGACTAGACTTAAGATATAGTTTTATGGATATTTGCCATTAAGATCTCCAATACACATATGACAACAGATAATATTTTTCTAGATTATTGATGTATCATTTGTTTATTGGAGAGCTTGATACTAAATAAAAATAAAACTGTATCTAATTTTTTGACCCCACAAAAAGAAGAAGAAAGCAAAGAGTTGAGTTCAACCAGAAAACTGTTGCATCTATTGGATTTTGCTGATTCTCATCTTCATTTGCTGCAAACCTGATGAATAATTGAGAGCTCCTGTTTACAATGGTGGAGGTGAAATTTTGTGTAAGTTTGCAGTTCTGCATGGGAAATTGTTTAGAAGAATGAATACTATTTATTATTTGTTCCAATAAAAGCAAAAGATGCCATCTTTGCACAGATCAAACAAGTGGTCCCTAACTACCTATTCCATATTTTTTTTCAGTCTCTGAAATCGTTCCGCCAAAAGAAAAATGGGTATTCAGTGGAGTACCTGATGGACAAAGATGGAGCACTAAACAGCATTGCGCAGTTTCAGTGGTGCGAATTAGGAGAAGCAGAAGAAGATGGCCTATGATTAGAAGCAATTCCATCGTCCTCCTCACCTTGAATTCTTGCGGGAATGCAGAACCTAGGAATTCCCATTCCATCAGACAGAAACCTGCTCCCAAAGATCGAAGCTTGGGACTTATTCTGTTGCTCCGACGAAGAACCAGTTATTGCAATGTCATTCCATGCTGAAAAACTGGACTGAAGGGTCCCCCTTTGAGAAAATGTCGAACCTTGCCCCACCAACATAGAAGCGTCGTTGTTCCAAGTCACAAATCCTGCGGGATTCGCGTCTCCTTGTGATGATTGGCCATGAATCAGACCTGGGTCTTGAAACGAATGAAGAGAAAGTCCGAGATCTTCATTGGGGTTGCTAGTCCTGGAGATTATATCAGCTGTGTAGTTCTGAAAATTGATGGAGGAACTCATTGTGGCTGTGGTGGTGGGGAAGAAAGCTATGGCGTCAGTGCCCATCTGCGACGAAATAAAAGCAGAATGGTTATCTGGGTTCTCACCAAACTGCCTCTGGAGCTGAATGTTGTAACCAGAGGACTCAGTTTCCTCTGCTATTCCTATTTCAGGGGCTTCTTCAGTATTAGTGGTAGTGTTAGCAGCTGGATGCCAGGGAGGAAGCTCTGCGAGCTTGTCAATGGCGGATTTGGCTTTCTTGATGAGCCAATCCACGGCCTTGCTGGGTCGGTCATAGCCGAGACGGTCTTGAACATCGTAGAATTGAATGGCAGTATGAGCTGAGAGTCGAACCCTGCGGTCACGAGGGCCTTTTGCAGTGTAAACCTTGCTGTGACGATCTTTTCTACCAGTGGATCGAACAATGTGGCCTCCTTGGACCTGAACTATCTCTCCTCCTGTGCTCTTCATGCCCATTTGTCTCTTTTGTTTTGTGTACTTGGAACTTGCTGGTTCTCCTCGTTCTTCTTCCTTCTCCTGATGTGGTTGTGTATGGTGCGAAAATATGCTTTCTACATGTGGGTTTTGGTTTTGGGCAAGTTGGTGAGGATAATGAAAATGATTGTATATGCTCGAGTTTTGTTCTTCTTGCGATTCTTGTGCTCTTCTTGGCTGTGCAGGCCTTAGTGATTGCTGATGATTCCCACTGAAATCCAGATTCCTATTATTTCTTTTTTCCTCTACTTTTGCCCTTCTAAGGATTTTGATTTCTTCTAGGTTTTCTTCAAGCAGACACCATTTTCTGCTTTGCTTGCTTGTTTCTTCTCTGAATTCTGATCGTTGCTGATCCCCAGGAACAAAAACCTGCCATTGCAATCTCTCAGATTCCTTACCAAACGTCGCCTTTAATCCCCAAACAAACCCTTATCAACATGCGAACAAAAGTTAATTACTCACTGCTTCTTTAAGGGAATTTAGGTATATTCATCTGGTCTTATCTACAGAGAGTAAAAGGACAGAGTAAATCCCTAGATGGGATGGTCTCTTTTTTCAACACGGACACTCAAAATTGCCCAAGAATATAAAGACATGATTTCAATTTTCAACCCCAACTGAATTGTACTAAGAGGGGGTAAAAAACACAAACTAGCAAAAGGACATTGAACTTGGTGATTTAACTTTGAGTTGAAGAGATATCACATGGGTTCAAAAGAGCTTTTTTGCAAGAAAGAATAAAAGAGAGAGGCGTGTGTGAAAAGAAGTGGAGCATAGTGAGGAGGGAAAATTTGTACCTTTGGTCCTATAACACCTCCTTCATGCTTCTGCGAAGTGTGGCAGATTATTGTCAGAAGAGACTAAAGATCTTTTTGGCCTTCTTTAATCCCCCAAAAACTCAAAAAATATTACCTTAACTTGTTAAAGAACTGTGTAACAGCCCAACTTGTTATTCAAGAGCTATAATTAAGGTCATAAATGATAGGGGGAACCCTCAAGAGCTATCCCTTGCAGCCACACCTTTTGAAGGCTTTGATAATGACATATAACAGCTTTTTTTTTTGGGTTCCTTTTTTCTATATGTACTTTTTGCAGTTTTCACCATTATGAAGTGTGTGGTTTTGCTAAAAGGAACATGACGCACTCGCCTCCTCTTATATGCCATTCTCATTATGCTCCTTCAAACTTTCTACCAACTAAGATCACGCTTCGTGGAACACTAGGAAAGAGAAGATAATTACGCCAGCTTTTCCTTTTTGCACTGAGAAATTTAGACTCATTAAGTCTCACTAATATGCCTTATCACTGACTTGATGATTTCTGTGGTACTGGCCCGTTTGCTTTTGCTTATGTCTCCATTATAAGTCATCTAAAAACTTTTATCATAGATTAAATTATCTAGAAGGCGCTTACACTATATAATATCATTCATGTAACTACTTTTTCTGTATCAGCTAAAAGTAGGCAAGTGACTTTCTTCTTTATGGAGAAAGTATACTCTATAAATATTCTGTACTAAAGATCAATTAAAGGAACATTTAACGAGGAGTGGCTAGTTTTAGCCTTAATTTTTGGAACTGACCCAGCAGGTTAATCATTCAATGTTAGAATCTCAGACTTCCAGACGGAAAACGAAGCACCAGTTCATATAAAATGTGTACGATAATGGTGGCCAATGGGTTAAGCACGAAAAATCAGATCATGTGCACTGAAAGAGATCGATCGGTGTGACGAACAATCAAAATCTTGTGTTTTGTCATTAATATATTAGTTCAAATAAAAGTTTGAGGGAATTGACGAATCCATTTAGCAGCTTTTGTATCAGCTGATATCATATATTTCTCTTTGAATAGAATCAGCAGAAATTAATTGGAGATTACCAGTATATATAATAATAAGTTCGTACAAAGTCACAAAGGGATCGTCAATTTTCTCTTCAATATTTTAAGTTGGCGGAGATTTAGTACATATAATAAGTGCTGTGCATGCTGTACTAGGCTTGATTTAGTATTGGTGTTGCGTTGCTATTGGGATGATGAAGACTGTGAATCTGTGATGTAATATGTTATGACCACTAGCCCCTTAATTAAAAAGATATGAGTATTATCTTTAATTTAGAGGATAATAGGTAAATAATGGTTAATATGTGAGACTTCTGGCGTCAGGTATATGATAGGCCATAGAAGATTTCCAACTAGAAATCATTATTCTAGAAGGAGGTAAATCATAGAAGATTTACCTTTAATTTTGATATGATTTTCAAATATTCAAAGATATGTGAGATGGGAAAAGTGTGGAGGGATATATGCCCACAAAAATATCATTTTCAGGCATGAAAAAAGAAAGCACTTTCTGCAGGAAGCTTAATTCTTAGGTACTTAGAAACTAAATTTGAATGATGAACCAGCCACCCCAAATTCATGTTTTTGTCAAGACATACATGCGGCAGATTTTATATATTGTTGGATTAGTGTCAAAAGGAAAAGGGCAAAAAAGAAAAAGAAAGCCGCATTAGTGCATTATATATACTGATCATTTAACATAATTCTGATCACACACACATATATAGCTGATATGGTTCCATATAGTGTGGACCAGAGGCTAGATATACAGCTAAAGTGGAATCAGTACATATAAGTCATTCCTTCTCCTTTTAATTACTGTCTTTTCTGATCAGTTCTATTACACATGTCTGTTACTTTGTTTCATTTTAAACCAGTAGGGTTAGATGAAAATGGTAAAAGCCCATTCCCCAAAGCTAAGTATCTAGTTTACATATATATATATATATATATATATATGTGACTAGAACGAGAACTAGAATCTTGTTGATGAAGTCAAACATGGAAGCACGTCCCATTAAGATGTTATTGAGTCAAGAAGTTGGATAAGGCCTTTTGGTAGAGATTTGAAAAGAAACACATTGACGTGTCGGCTTCTAATTTGTTCCTCAACGAGAGATTGGAAGCTAAGTATCCTCACCTTTTTTGTTTCCTTTTTCTAATTTGGAGCTTTCCTTGTTTAATTGGCAAATCATGGAATCACTTTCCTTTAGGATCACCAAACTTCCTGCTGCTACCTAGCCTAGATAGACCTCGCCAGATCTTTTAAATATATTTTGTTTTGTTATATATAAAGGTTTTTTTTTTTTAGGATACTCCTGGAAATAGATCCAGTAGAGACTAGGTGGGTACACCTCCATAAGATGTTTTATTTTTCATTATTTCATTAAAAAAATATTTGCCTCTATTGACAGAGAAAATAATAATAAATTATTTCTGCAAGCGAGTGTTTAAGGCTCTTAAATCCTCAGACTTCACAACAAAGAAAACGTGAAAAATAAATTAAATCAGATTGTTGTGTTGAATGCTCGTGATATATATATATATATATATATATATTGTGTGCGTGTGTGAATTATAGCATGAAATACTGGAGTCATGGTTGATCTCATTGAATTTACGTTTCTTTAAGAGTATATAGGATATGCTTCTTTCTTCTAATTTCTGACAGTCGTGAAAGCCAAAATCTGGGTTTTTTAAAAAAAATCAAAATCAAACCAAAAAAATACAGTATACTTATCCATGTGATATTGTACTATAAATTTTCTAATTGAATTCGAAATTATACTGATAAATGATTTTCGGCTGAATTTCCTTCCACTGTGCAGAGAAAAGCTTTATTCACTCCCACGACTTCATACACACATGCCCCTATGTCGATGTTTTATGAAGAAAACTCTGAAGCTTAAACAAAATCATGACACTACTCCTTCCGGCACTAAATATAGAGAAGTTAGATAATTAGTTTATAGAAATTAAGAAAATTAGTTAAGCAATTCAGTTGGCATATACTCTTCTAGTCCTATTTATAAGGCACTTCTAGCATATTTTATACAGACCAAGAAAAATCTTAAAATATATTAAGTCTCCATTAAAATATAACAATTTTTTAACTTTACCCATATTTAATATATACATATTTCAAAAGAGACAACTACTTACAGTATAATAAATGAAGGACAAAATAGTACATTTATACTAAAAATTTAATGAAATAATTTATAAATAGGACAAAAAAAATCTTTTATCTCTGCTTTATAAATAATACTAGAGAAGTAATATGCAAAAAAAAAAAAAAACAACGGCACTAGAGGAAAGGACAGTTTCAATATTCCGCATGCGCAATCCTTTGTACAGCTGTTGGTGGGGTGAACACACACTAACATGAAAATGCTGGTAATTTATAACAAAAAAAAAGTCAGTTTTCTTAAAATGTCTATTTTCATAATTTGTCTTGAAAATGACTCCCTTGGAGTAATTAAAACCCCCTTAATATTTGCAACTAAGGGGAAGAATTTAGAAAATAAATTATAAATTTAGAAGGCAAAATCAATTGAGATTACATGTTCTTTCATTTAGGATCAAAAGAAGTATATATGATTAGAATGTATAGGTGCCATGTGATACAAAAGGCCTCGATAAAATAAGTAGGTTGTAACTTTGATTTTTTTTTTTTAATAACATTGTGAGCTTGATTTTAGTTATAATATGGTCCCAAAATAGAGAGAGGGGGGTATAGGAAAGGAGGAAGGGAGATTGAAAGCCACCAAACAGGCGCATGATCCGAGGCACATGTATTTACAACTCATTCTTCTTTCTCTGTAAACACCAACGTGCATTTGTACGTCTCCTCTCTCGCCGCGCTCTGATCGATAGAGACACTGTGTGTGTGAGAAGCAAGCCCTTGTTTGGTTGTAATTTATGGTCACCACACAGATATATATATATATATATTTTATATTCACCAACCTCTTGTTGCTGTAAACTGTAAAAGCTTGTTTTCACTTTTGAGGCAACCATGCATTATTCTCAATGAAGACACAGTTTTCTTCTTCTCCTAATTACGCCACTAAATTAGGCTTTCTTAACACTGTTCCTGATGTGTGTGAGTATAATGATGGCTTATCTTCTGTTCCAATCAATTTATATTTAAGAGAATGGAACGTAATTCTTGAAAGGAAAGAATTGAAGTGGAAGAAGAAACGTGTGAGATTGAGTAATCTCCTTCAAGAAATGAGAATAACGTAATGTAGGCATGAAATGTTCTGTTATGTGAGGAAAAATGATGAATGAAGCTGAGAGAAGGAAGAAGAAGAGAGGGAGAAAAATCCAAGAGGGAAAGAGCCAAAAATTGAATGAAAGGAAGGCTAAATGGTGTATACGATAATGCTGAGTTTACAGAGAGCACATGGCTCATCATCATCCATATCAATCCAATATTCATTGCGCGTGGTTGACAATCCTGTCCCACTAATACTATTCACACCTCCATTTTCCAATCTCAAGTTTTGCTTCTTCTTCTTCATCTTTTTTTATGAGTATAATGCTATATTTATGTCCAGCACCCTGATCTTATTTATGATACATTTAGTTAGTACGCTGATAATATTTGTTGGTGGTCTTAGTACCATATTATTTATAGTGCATCCAACATCCTAAACTATAAGTAAGTAAGATCGGGGGATGCTAGATTTGATTGGAAAATAATATTGGGAATGCTAAATACACCATAAAAATAATATTAGAGTACTGGATATACTATAAATAAGATTAAGCCACTGGGTGCTGCTCTATCCTTTTTAGTACTATCAAACCCACACGCATATAATTT